TCATTTATGTTTTTACCCTCATCCATCTGCTTGAAAGTGGAAAATAAGTGGCTTAGTTTTTAGCCTGTGACGTCTAGCCATCCTGAAACACTCACTGACTTTCCTACGTCAGCACACCACCTGAGCGTGTCCAAGCCAGACTGCTGCAAGGCTGAGATTATGTCACACACACACACACACACACACAAACTCCAATTCACACAAACGGGCCACAACTTCCATTTATTTGGGGATTTCTGTGGGCTTTATCCTTAGAAATCTTCCTTGATCTGGAAAGGCCCAAGTACTTTATCCCCTATAGTAAATATTCACAACTTTAGCCAGCTAGGATATTCAGCTACTAGCTAGTACACTAATTTCTGTGGTCATGTGCTCATTAATACTTACAAAATGTAAAAAATAAATGTTAAAAATCATAAACGCCATCTACACAAAAAAGAATTTAGTCTGAAAAATGTATGTGTCATCATCTGCCAGTCGTCTGCTCTGGTTTCCATAATGTTGACTGGAACCCATACATAAAGGTTTAATGCATGCAAAATTAAAAAGAAAATGTTAAAATTTTAATGATAAAATAACATTAACATTAACCTTTAGCTGTGCATGCTCTGATTTCTGTAAGCCTACCCATAGACCCATAGCTTTAATACATAGAAAACAAAGCAAAAAAGTATACATATAATTTAGCATGCCAAGAATTTACCTTTGTGTGTGGCCTTATTCCAGTATTTTAAGTTAGCAGCTGTATGTGCTCTCTATTTCATAACCTTAACCCTACACCTAGAGTGTGCATACATGCAAAATTCTGTAAAATTGCTGAAAATCATTACAGTGATGTTAAAACATGGAGTTTTATTTACAGACCTCTAGTGCATTGCTATCTGCCAGAATCTTAATTTTGGAAAGTGTACATGCTCTGGTTTCCATAACCCTAACCCTAGTCATAAATAATACTCTTGATTATGTTATAGTTCAAATGGTATTACATAACACCCACTATTATGAATCTGAAGTGATACGTAACACGTGTGATTATATCAGCTGTCATTATCTGTGTTGTTCTCTGTATTTGCCATCTTGCACATGCGCTGCCAAGTCACTGAGTTACATCACTGCCAGTGTGACCAAACACGCTAGGTCGACATGTTAAAAACAGTGCTTATGTCCATTAATCTATTCCCAGTGCACCTGAAAGAGTTTTTTTGAACACTTAACCAGGATAAAGGAAGCAAAGTTTTCATCTCGTAACACATTAACCATTGTTATTTCACCAATGTAAATTTCTCTTCCTTGGGATTTCCCTCACTACTGTTTCCGACTTGTGCAGCTGTTAATGCCTACTATTGTTTATATCCTATTTAAGATTCTAAGGAAGCAAATACATTTGAGAAAGAGAAGAAAATAAACAGCAATCTGATATGTTGTGGGAGACGTGGGAGCCAGATGCAGCTGAACATAAAAGTCTTTTTAATAAATGTTTTCCAATAACCATGGTCCAAATTTAAAGAAGGGGTGAGAGCACAAACATCACAGCCAAACACACAATCACACCCACCAGCAAGCTAAAAAAAAAAAGTAAGAAACCAGCAGTGGCTTGTGACTATAGATTTTGGTGGGGTAGGACGACATTAATGACAGCAAAGCCCCAAATAAAATTAAGTCAAGAGGCTTTCACAGTTGACTTATGCTAAAGGCTATTATCTAGTGATTTTTTTCTTTTTTTTTTTTTTGCAACCATATAATAGGCAGTTGAGAGTCCAAAATATACAGTCATCCAGCAACTCGTTCTGAACGTTATAGACATACATTCCTTCAACTGTGTTCAATACAGCAGGTTATTTTCCTGCCACCACTGTCACAGTATGCAAGCCATACACAGAAGAGCAACCAGGGTTGCCAGGTTTCAGCAAAATTTCCAGCCCAACTACATCTCTCAAGCCACACAAAAAAAATTAAGACCTGGAAAGGGGAGACTTCTTTTTCTAAACCTTTGTGTGGAAAATAAAGCGCACGCATTTCTGATTAATTACTATTATCCACTAATTAATCCCTCTTTCCCTGTCCCGATCTTTGCAATATATCTTACAATAGAAATGATGCTGTACATGATAGATAAACTGTTTGCACTTTAGTCTGTGGAAATTTATTAGATTTAATTCAGATTATTTGCTATAAAACAAGAACTTGGTGGCTGTGGTGTATTTTTAAGTATCCAAGTTTGGCGTAAAACCGTATGTGTAACCCTGGCAACCCTGTTATTAACTGTCCTGTCCACTGTCCCTCCTACGGTCCCCATTGTTGACCACTAGGTGCAGTAATAATTAATCTAATTGGGGCACTGACCTTTCTAGATGCGCAAGATCAATGGAACATCAGCTTATATCTGTCAGATAGCAACTTTATTTTTAGATCATTGGCCACTCAAAAGAGGTAATTATTATTTAAAATGTATGAAGTTGTGAATGAGCACTTTATAAACATTAGTTTTGGCTCTGTCCCATGTTTGCCTATGGAAGAGCCACTACTGAAGAAAACACCAAAACCCTCTGAAACAGGGCAACATAAATACCAGGAAATTACAAGACACCCAGATGAAATTTTACATTTTATTACAGTTTAACCACTATTGGCAATTAAATAAGGAAAGAAGTGAAAACCAAGCACAAGTGTTCCATCAAATACCTCTAGACGAGTGCTTTATTAAAGGCAAGTGCACTTGTTTGGTATCCAGTTACTGTAAGACTATTAGTTACTGTAAGAATAGATTTTATGAGACAGGAAGCTCTGAATATAAGACATAAAACCAGGGAAACAACAACACAAAAATTGTGTAAGGAGCAATATGCAATACATCGCCACTCTCTGGCACCATTCTTGCATTTTATCTTATAGTTGATATTAGACAGTGTTAGTATCACCTGTCAAAAACCACCATATTGGGTGCAAAATTACAGTGATCCAGACTGGCCTTCCAGCTATGTCTTGATTTTTTTCACCCAATAAAATAATATAATATTTCTTACTTGGATTTTCTCATTCTAGAGTATTTAACTTTAACCATTTTCTTGTAGTTTAACCAAAAATGTTAATACGGGGTGTTCAAAATTTTTTGAATAGCAATATAATACATACAAGACACAGGTCAGAAAGATCATCAGCAGGATTGGCCAGGGTGAAGCAGGAAAGGTCTGCGGTATGTGGGTTTTATTTTCAAGCTATTAGGGATTCGTGCTCATTCTTTCATTTGTCTTTTCCTTCCTGAAAGAGAACCACTTTAAAGGTAGCAAATACCAGAACGATGACGTGTAGAGACTCGAAACAATGTCAAAGCACATCTTCAGTCTTCTGTCACCTAAACCAGTTCTGCATCATTACATCCACAGTCTCAGATCATGACATCATGATGACTTTAGTACACACTCCAGTTCATTTAAACAGGACTTGGGAAGAGATCTATGGCATAAGGAGTGGTCTGGTCCAAGCAGGACTACACACCCAGTACAGACATCCACCAAATGTTCTTCCAAAACATAGAATTGTTTTAGATAATGCAGAAAAACTAGTTCAGTGAACATTGTTACCCTTCTTTAGCAAGATAGAGGAAACTTGTTTTCCTACTGAAGATCCTTTTTCATGATTGAACCATGAAACAGAACAGTATCATATTTCTGTAAAACTCGTTCCTGCGTCCGCAGTGGGGTTTTCACAGGGACATTCTTGTGCATACATTCAATACTTGGTGTGTTGAACACACAACTCAGTGCCATTTAGGAAAACATGTACGTGTAAGTTTAGCGTACATCTACAAAACTGGTACTTTAAACAGGACAGGATGTTTGAAGTATCTTATACTATAAGTGTAAACCATTATCTGTTAAACATTTAACTGGCTTCATGCCCAATAAATATACACTCTCCATCCACTTATCCAGTCAGCCAATCATGTGGCAGCAGCACAGTGCATAAAATCATGCAGATACAGGTCAAGAGCTTGAGTTAATGTTCACATCAAACATCAGAATGAAGAAAAAATGTGATCTCTGTGACTTTAACCATGACATGGTTGTTGGTGCCAGATGGGCTGGTTTGAGTATTTCAGAAACTGCTCATCTCCTGGCATTTTCACACACAGCAGTCTAGAGTTTACACAGAATGGCGCAAAAAAACAAAAAAACCATTGAGTGAGCGACAGTTCTGTGGGTGGAAACGCCTTGTTGATAAGTGAGGTCAGGGGGAAATGGCCAGATTGGTTTGAGATGCCAGGAAGGATATAGTAACTCATATAATCACTGTCTTCAAAAACATGTCTAGGCTTTGACCATCACCTGTCAGACTCTGGTGATGACTGGTGGAGATACTACACAATTCAGTTAAATGAATGGGTTTAAAATGAAAGTGAAAATACATCCTGACTGAAACTTTCCCCACCTGCATAGATTTAATCCTGCGCCATGCATGAAGAGAAGACCGTGTTTTTGCAGAGGGGGAAATATGTTGGATCAGATTTTCTAGCTGTGAAAATAGCATATTTTAGACCTGATTGTTAAGATTTTTTTGATTTTTTTTAGTTATTTCAGGCATATTGTTTTAGCCTCATGGACAATCCATTTACTTTTTTAATATTTGATATTTAAACAGAATCAAAATTCATATATCATGCAATTTTAGGTTAAAACAAAACACATATCTAAAGAATCTGGTTATGCATATAAATAATTTATGCATGGAAGGGTTAATTTGTTTATAACTGATTGGCAGCAGATTATTTGATGTTTTAATTATTTATATTTCTTAGCAGCTGATTTGATGTTAATTTTTTTTTTTACTGAATCTTTAAATTGTAAAGTACTGAAAGTGTAAATGTTTAAAGTGTAAAAATTTCATTACATATTTTTTCCTTCTAATCTATGTGTGTAAACATTAAATAAAACTTTGAATTCATTGAATTCATTTTTTCTATTTTTTAATTAAATTTTAACCTGTAAATTGTGATATGTGGTTCCCTGGTGGACTAGTGGCTAGCATGCAGCACTCTCACTGCCGAGGCCTGGGTTTGATTCGTGGTTAGGGAATCAACCCCAGCCACTGGAGGGCTGCACGAGCCACTGCACTCTCAGTGCTGATCTCAAGCCTGGAAAATGGAGAGGGTTGCGTCAGGAAGGGCATCCGGCGTAAAACTTGTGCCAGAATCAAAAATATGCGGATGGGTGATCTGCTGTGGTGACCCCGAACAGGAGCAGCCGAAAGAGAAAAAAAAATTGTGATGTGTATCATAGAAAGTTCTTCAAGTATCATGATATTATAATATCTTTGTTCTGTCTCTCAGCCTTGATTGGATTGCTTATTGATATTGATAACAATGTGTTTGAAGAATGGAGTGAGGTTATATGTAGTTAAATACTTTTGCACATATGGTTTACAAGCCTTGTCTATTCAGTGCATACAGGCAGCTCTAAGTAGAGCACTCAGCAGCTCATCTGTGCAGCTGGAGTGAGTTGTTTGTATGCAGGGAGCAGCTACAGCTGATTGGTGTCTTTTCAGGAACAGAGACTCAGTGGGTGAGCTGCAGCTCTGGTATTGAAGGAGGGAGCAGGCAGCTGGCTGGAGCTGAATAGACCTTTCTTAAACCCTTCTCTCTCTCTCTCTCTCTCTCTCTCTCTCTCTCTCTCTCTCTTTCCCTCTCTCTATGCCAGGTGTTGAATATTGATGCTGTTATTGTTCCCATTGGTCTTTTTAGCTGAGGTTTTGTCTTCAGTTATTATTGAATAATTAGTAGATTGATATTGCATCATGTCTGGATCGGATTAATTGGATCATCACATTGTTAGTTAGGGAGAAACATTGCATTATTTTCGAAGCAAAGCAGATGTGTGAATTAGGTGTAAGCTACAGAGCTTTTAAAAAGGCAGTAGTATGAATGATGCAATAAACTGAAAATATTTGTATCTGTTCCATCATGTCTGGCAAAAAAAAATCGTCTTTTCTCAATAGTGTTTTTTACGCTCCTTTGTCTGACATCACTTCCTTTACAACTGATCTTACTCCCTTTAACACACCTATACTGGTATGTTACTATGTAAATAATAAAAGACGACAGGGTGCACTGTTATAGAAAATAATCAATGATGAGGTGATGGAGCGGAGGATTTCTCCCACCCTGAAGTTGATTATTTTCCTATAACAGCATGTCCCATGATGTTTACACTGCAGCAGTTTCCCAACGATTATACATTTTTGTTAATGATAATGAACATCCGTGAAACAAGTTATTTCCCACTTATTTTATAGGAGCTATAAACAGTTGTTCCTTCACCACTCTCTCTTTTTTCTATCTCTTGAAGTTAATAATACAAAAAAGCAGCTTGTTGTGTTACTTCCTGGTATATTAGTCCACTCTTTAAAAAAAATTTCAATTCAATTAACAAGTTCATTAAAGGTTCTTTGTAGTACCCTACAATAGAGGATTTCTCTTTCAGAAAGGGTTTCATGTAGAACCCATTTAGGAAGTAAAAAAAAAAAACCTTGAGGGTGAACCCTATTCTAATATCCTAATTTTTATATACATTTATTTTGTGCTTTTTTTCCCTAGGTCATCTCTGACATGTCCTCATTGCCTTAAGCAGAGTCACACCTTTGATCCTTTCCTTTGCATCTCTCTTCCCATCCCTTTGCGTCAGACCAGGTGAGTATAGCTCAACTCCATGTGCTTATATTCAGTCATAACAGCTGACCTCTTTTGGTGATAATCTTTTGGTGTCTTAGTATTTTTGACCTGTTATAGAGCAGGGGTCATTGGGTTCAGCACTGGAGAGCTGGCATCCAGTACAGTTTGGAGATTCCCTGCTCTAAGCGTGGTAATTAACTTTATTATGGGCATAACAATATGGCGTATTACATCATATCTTTTGGCTCTGATATATCTGCGTATCGAACAATACATTTAACCGACTGCATAATAATGTAGGCTATTCATCATAAAATACCGCAAATGGGGGTGTATAATAAAACACGCTTCTCCTAAACAGGCTGTTTGTTTCACAAGCCAATATGCTAGCATACTAGCTGTGGAAAAAACCTCCCCAAAATTGTAAGGTCTTGTGTGTTGGAGCACTTTGGCTTCTCTGTAAGACTGACTGCCAGGAAAGAAACATAACTGTGTGCTGAATCAGTCAAATATGCATACAATAAACGGGCACTAATTCCGCAAAACTAGACGAAATCATGACACAACACACACACACACGCACGACTGCACACAGCAAACTCTGTCTGCTGCCTTCAGGCAGCCTTTTCTCGCTGATCCTAGATGTGCAGGATTCAAAAACGCATCTAGGGCTACAGAGAGCTGTGTGACGACTAGCTAACAATAAAATTAGAAAGACCCCATGCTTCAGACACACCCCCCTTTGAGAGTCACACCAGTAAAAGCTTAGTCAGAAAGCTAATGTTTAATTAGCCATGTTTAATTTTGCTGCATTCCAATGCACAGCTTTTGTTTCAGCAAAGAGTCTTGGAGTGGAAGCCCCAGATACGAATTCAGGCTTTTTTGCTGTATCAAAAATGTATTGAGACCCCACCTTAACGTATCTAATCGAATTTGAATTTGGTGTACCATTACACACCTAGTAATTATGGTGTCTTTATGCAGTGAAATCTTCAAACTGGACTGAACTTGGAATTGATGACCCCTGTTATAGTATAACCAAACAGGGTTTTCTGGAATCCTCACCTGTTATGCAGTATGTAGGAACAGAAGAAATATCTATTTATGGTAGCACTCCTAGAGCCTAAGCACACAGAAGAACAGGGCCGAGTTGTCTGGTTACATTCAGAGACAATTGACTGAAAGGGCTCCTCCTAATATCAGAAACAATAGCGTATTCAGACTGGAACCATGAGGCACGCCGCACCCTGTGAGCACTGCGCTTGGGCCTACAGGGGAAATCCTGACATTTTAGAAGAGTAGTCCATTCACATGTGTAAACACTCAAATGGGCATACAATTGCTCACAGAACTTCCCACATGCTGTCATACACTAATTTACATATATTGCACAAGTAGATATGTGGACACTCATATACACTTGTATTGTGTTTGAGTAGTGTGTGTTTAAACTGTTATAGCCGAGCTAAAGGTCACATGACTACACAATGGCTATTCAGTTCCACTTATGATAAGCCATAACAATAAGGATAGCATGTGACAGTTTATGAGGTATCCCTTCTGTTCAGTACAGTGTTTGCTCAAGATTTTATTTACGCCAAGAAACAGTGAGCTGATATGTCAGGGCTGTTTTCTCTCACTTTTTTTTGATACCATGCCAAGACAGTGTGAATGACACAGACTGCTCCAGCAGGGAGGTGAGTCTGGTAATTAGAGAGGCTGATTTAGTGGTAAGCTGCCTTAGTGTTGTCAGAGGTGGGCAGCCTCTCTGTCCCACACTCACACCCCTCCTTTTATGGTGCTAGGGTGTGCTTGGCACTGCACCTCTCTCTCTCTCTCTGTCTCACACACACACACACACACAAACACACACACACACAAACACACACATACACAGAAGGTTAATAAGGGCTTTTCCTCAGACTTCATATCCTCTGCATCCAATTTACTTTCTTTCCAGCTGAGTCTTTTCAAACGTGTCTCTTAATTGAATTTAGCAAATGAAGGGTGCACTGCGTTAAAGAAACTATCGCCTGAGATGTATTTGATACACAGAAGTAAGCTGCATTTAAGGCTTTTTTTTTCACCCACCATAAATGAGGGCAGCCAAGCAGGATGCAGCTTTTATCACACACATATAAACCCAGATTATCCTCAACACTTCACTATTTACTCCTAGTCTACTGAAGCAGTTCAGTAGGCAGATCTCTCTTAAGTAGATATGCTTCATGGGTGTACTCTTGGCTCTTTGTGGCTTATCAGCAGAAGGTCTTTCAGTCTTAAAATGTGAAAGGATCAAGGTTAAGTACAGCACCCTGCTTAAAATGTATGCGAATAAAGATGCAAAAAATAAATGAATTGAATTCAGGAAATGAAGGATGCATTGTGGTACAGAAACTATAGCCTTTATTCCTTGGACTATTCTTGCTCTGGGGCATGGGCATAACTTCGTTCTGAAAAGTGCTGGGCAGAAGAATGATAGAAAAAAAGAACCATCAATGATCAATTGCCTGATCAATTAATAACCAGGCCACATTGTGCCTTTTTTCTCATCTCACAGAAAAGACACACTTTATTTAGTTGATATGGTTTACATAATCTCTTCAATGGGAGCTAGGGGTGGGTGATATGATAAAAAAAATCATATCATGATTCTATGATGCACGATATGTACCACAAAATATAGGGTTGCTAACAAATTGCCAGCAAACAGTAGTGTTGCCTTAAAAAACTTCTTGAATACTTCAATTAATGTCTACAAACATTATTGTCTTCAAAAAAATAACATTTTTATTTATTGAAAAAAATTATTGAAAAAAATAAAAATTAAATAAAAAATAGTTTTAAAGATGAAGTACAAAATTTTAAGCTGTTTCCAGTCAGTTTGCAATTATTTCAAAAATCACAAAGAATTTTAAAAGAATTAATTTAAAAGATATCCACAATATCTCAGAAAAGTGTGCTGTGGCATCATTTATCACGATATCAATATATCGATATA